TTGCAAGAATTGGTGGCTGTCCACACAAGATTGAAAGCTTTGTCTAAACATAATGATTTCAAGGTGTGTCTTATGGCATCGAAAATACAGTCAAAGTTTTTAAAATATTGAGAAAATTTGGACAAGATGAACCATTTGTTATATGTTGCCACTGTCTTGGATCCACGTTATAAATTGAAAATTGTGAGGTTTTGTTTTAACCAAGTTTATAATAATGATATCATAAGATTTGCTGCCATGGAAGAAGAAGTGAAAAAAGTGTTGGTTCATTTGTTTGAGTTTTATCAAAAATGTAGTCCTTGTCAAAGTAGTGAGAATTTGTCTCCAAGATCAAATCAAAATGTTGCTAATGTTGATATGGATGAGAATTTGGAGACGGGCAAATCTTTGGCTTTTCAATTTGCAAAAGAGTTGGAGGAAGATGAATGTGAGACAAAATCTGAATTTGCTAAATATTTGGAAGAAAAGTGTGAAAAGGATATGCATTCATTTGATATTTTAAGATGGTGGAAGGATAATGCAGCTAGGTTTCCTGTTCTCTCCCAATTAGCTAAAGATGTTTTGGTTATTCCGGTCTCTACAATATCATCTGAGTCAGTTTTTAGTACAAGTGGCCGCATTCTTGATCCATATAGAAGTTCTCTTAATCCTAAAATGGTGGAGGCTCTTGTATGCTGTCAGAATTGGTTAAGGCAAAATTCAAGCACAATTGATATTCAAGAATCCATGAAAGAAGTGCCTTTTAAAGAAGTGGAGAAGTATGAGGAAATTATTCAAGGTAAATTTAACATTATTTTCTTTCAATTTTTTGATTATTCTATTTTTACTTAGTTATTTGTTATTATATCAATATAAAATAATTAGCTTGAGCTTTGTTTAAATTTTAGAATTTCATTCAGGTGCTTCAAGTAGCAAATCGCAAGTTACTATTGAATGACTCAACCTTTGAAGAAGTGGTAGGTGATTATTTCATTCAATTTTAGAATTACATAATTCTTTTATCAATTTACAACTCTTATTAACATATAATACTTTGTGGGCTACTCAATGACTTATTAGGTGCTTTGATTTGAAGTTGACCTACTTGGGAATGAAGAATCAAGAATTGCTATTGACATTGTAGAAGTTTAGGAGTTCTTGAACTGTATTTTGAGATAATAGTTGTACTTGGTTATCTATATTTCTAGTATTTTATATGTTTTCTTTCTCTTATTTGGATGTAAGCTAAACATCAGATTTTTATGTCTTTGTGACTGAGTGCTGGTTTTGCAAGGCCTAATTTTGTAGTATATGGCCTATATATTCAATACTGGAACATTTGAAAGTAGGCCTAGATAGTCGGCTGGAATTACAACAGCTGGAAATGTAGCAAATCCTGATAGGTTTGCTTTGAAAAATTACATTTTTATCTTGTTTTTGACTTAAATGTTTGTGGTTTTGATATATTACAGATGACATGTAGTTGATAGAAGGTCTGGATGAATTATTAGTTGTAAGTAGTTCTTCTAATAGCTGAGTGAGAACAGAGATGTATATGTTTTCTTCTTATTGAATGTGATAAACTAGTGCTACGAGAGAATAAGAAGTCAGTTCTGGCTTGATCAGCTTGAAACTTTTGCAGGTGATAAAGATGAGGAAAAAGAAAAGGTGATTAAGCAAGATCAAAGAAAAGGAGATGAAGGTACTTGTAGAAAATTGGACCAACCACAAAGCAAAGTTAAATAATATCTATTATATCAAGAATTATTTGCTCATAAGACTTCAAATGTTTATAGCATGAATAGATATTTCGTTCAGCATTGTTTTGATTCATTTGATGCACACATTACAATGAAAGGATATTAATTTTGCTTGCTTCTCTATATATAAGCCCTTACATCTATTCAAAGTGTTGAACCTTTTAGAAAGAAAAATGATCATTGCAACTGCATATAAAGATTTCTGTAGTTCACTCTTTTTTCATCCATCAAAATTAGCATCTCACTTTTAACCTAGTGATTTGCTGTTATCTTGTGTCTGCTTGCTCTTCTTGATGGCATCTAACTTACAAAATGTACCATAAGATAGTTAAATCCTGTCCATGTCTGCCTACATTGCGTGACAAGAGTTTAAAATAATTTCCAATTGCTATGTGATATTGAGTCATGATGTTGTGAATATGAGTTGTACTTCCACATACAAAGTTTAATACACTGATTATGTTTAACCAGATCAAATTGCACACTGAAGCAGTCACCTGTTAATGTTTCCCATAGTTGCTTTTACACTAGCAATTATGATTCCTTTTTCTTTTCTTGAATTGTTTGTGCTATTGATCAAAAATTTCCAGAATAAATCTAAACTCTGAAGGTTGAAAATTTGTCAAGACTGGAATTCTTTATTTTTAATTCTGGCAAGGAAAATTCTTTGCTGATCCTTTTACATCATTTACAACATCATTCTTCTACATGGACCTCCTGGGACAGGCAAGACATCTTTATGCAAGGCATTGGCTCAAAAACTATCCATACTCTTTAGCTCCAGGTTTTTCTTTAAAATGCTTGTTGGGTAGTTTTTTTTTTTCCTAAATTGTATTGTTGATCTCCCTTGACAGAATTTTTTCTTTCTTTTTATTTACTCTTTTTTGAGATCAGATACCCACAATGCCAACTAGTTGAAGTTAATGCATATTCTTTATTCAGTAAATGGTTTTGTGAGAGTGGCAAGTTCGTAGGTCCAATGAAAATGCACTCTTTCAGTAGTTATTATTACTTGCATTGCATAACTAAAATATAGTGCGAGTTAAGTGTTAGACATATTGGAGGCAATCTTTCTTTTGGCAGTTATTCACAATATTACTAAGCTTAAATGATTGAGCTTTATACCTGAAGTTTGGCTGGCCTGCTAGGAATTAAGCTATGACTCCCCAATTGCCATACCATTTGCAATTTTTTTATTTGTGCACAAAAGCCCTGCATTCTTATTGGTTTCTATTTTAATTTTGGCAAGGGAAATCCTCCTGCTTGCTAAAATGTGCATTGTTAAAGTATATTTTGAGCCTATCATAACCTATGAATACAAAAGTGCTAGATTATTGGTTTCTATTTTTGAAATTGGTGCTAATTAATCTAATACATTAACCCGCCAATCCACCTGCTAATCCGCCCGCATTTAATCAAGTCGAACTGCATGGTTTGTATTGATAATTAGGTAAGTTCAGTTTTATTTTTTTGTCACCCGCCCTTGTTAGGTCGGGTTAATTTTTTAACATCAACCCGCCCGTGCTCACCCCTACCTGAGCCTGATGTGATGTGATGTGATGTGATGTGATTAGGATGCTAGGGGTTCGACCAGTGGACGGTGGGCCATAGCGTGCGGGTGCCTTGGGCCTGATGATACGATATGATGACTAGTGTTGATGATATGCTCACATACTTATTTGATGTGTTACTGCTCACTATATATATGTATGGTTTTAGACTTATGGCATAATACATATCTCAACATGCATAAATTACGTATCATCTTTACTTATTAAGTTTCGCGACTCACCCTTCTTATTTATTCCAGATTTGTCTTGTTGTTCCTATCTTGGTTAGCATGTCAGAGTCAAAGCTGATAGTTATGGATTCGATTGTTGTACGAGCACTCTTTTTTTTTTTGTATCTTTTTCCCTATCGTATTTTAGAATAACTTCCCAGTACTCTCAGATAGATTCTAATTGCTGTGTTTTGGTTATTAGATGACAAATTATATTTATCTGATGATAAGTACTTTAAGTATATTTTGGTGTTGTGAGACTTATTGTAGTTGGTAAATCCTACTACTGCTTGTGAGCTGAGTGTGGGCCGTGGCAATCGGCTAGGATTTAGCATACAGAACATAAATCATGCGTAAGTGACTCCCAATCCATTGAATCTTTTAATATTAAATGAGTTTCACGGACACTAGAGTGTTTATTCAGCCAATTTCATAAAATATAAAATTAATAAAAACCAATTACTAAAAATTCTAGCGTCTAACCCACACATTTCCACTGTTCCAAATTAATCAGCAATGGCTGCGCACAAAGGGATTAAATAAATGGAGAACTTTATTTGAATGAATTGAAATCAAGGAGTTGTGACAACTTTCTACTTGTAAATGCATTGTATGAAGATGGGTTTGGAAGAATCAAAATCTCCTGCGGTTGAATGGAAAGCCAGATGGCTGAACATGTTTGGATAAAAGAGTTGCTCACCTCCATCATATTGTGAGACCAAATTCTCTAATCCATATTGGCCTTGCTTTGCAGACTAGTGCGCATATTCTCTTTTTATTAGAAAATAAAAATTGTAAAATGAACAAAGAAGAGTCGCTCATGTCATTGTCATATATAAAATGGATGCCGGTTTTCAAACAAATTTAGGTGTCCTATTTTCATTTATTCTCGTGTGAAGTGGGGTAATTTTTTTCTTTTTTTTAAAGGAAAGGTGTAGTAGCCCCAGTTTTTATGTGATTTTGATTTGGTCAAATCTCGACAAGGGGTGGTTTTGATAAGCCTGCTTTAAACACCCCATTGCAGTTTATAATATAAAATAAAATAAATTTGAAAAATAAATTAGGTATCTCCTCTAGAATCGATTTTTATTATTTAATATAAGTAAATAATAGAATTTACTTTTTAAAATTTATTTTTAAAAATTATTTTTTAATTTACTTTTTTCCAAATTCTCTTTTTCTAAATCTGCTTTTTTATTTAATAAGATCTAAATTACTTCCACATGCCTTAGAAGAAGAGCAAAAAGTAGTCTAACATGGTCTCGTTTGATAAAAAAAAAAAAAAATTAATTAAAAAATTAATTTGAAATAGATAAGGTTCACCCATCAACCTTCGTTTCTCCACTGAGAATGGGCAGTTGAATTTCAACCTGATATTCATTATCTGTCTAATCCAACCGTCCAACCTTTGAATACACCTTCGTATTCCTCAGTTCAAATACCCCAACACTTACAGACCCAAAAATAAAAATAGAAAAAAAATGGAGTCTCTCCCTCTCCACCACCTCACTGTCCACGCCCACTGGGCCACCGTGAACCGGTTATACACCCTCTTCCACCTCCTCCTCCTCGCCTCTTGGATTTACTTCCGATTGTCTGATCCAACCTCTCTCGCACTCCCACCACCCGTTTTCTCTGCCGTCTTTTCCGCCGAGCTGATTCTCTCTTTCCTCTGGCTACTCAAACAGGCGTTCTTCTGGCGTCCGGTTTCCCGTGAAGCTTTTCCGACAAGGCTGCCGGCAGATGAGGAGCTGCCGGCAGTGGACGTGTTCATTTGCACGGCGGACCCGAGGAGGGAACCGCCAGTGGGGGTGATGAACACGGTGGTGTCGGCGTCGGGCCTCGACTACCCACCGGAGAAGCTCACGGTGTATCTTTCCGACGACGGGGGTTCTTCTCTAACGTTGAAGGCCTTCAAGGAGGCTTGGGGTTTTGCGAGGTGGTGGGTTCCGTTCTGCAAGAACGGGACTGCGTGCCCGGGAGCTTATTTTTGCGGCTCAAGAAGTGTCGGTGGTGGGCAGGAATTGGCCGACGAAATAGCGGAGATTGAGGTTTGCTTAATTTGAATAGTATTAACAATTTCGATATTTGGTAATTGCACGGTAGTTTTAACAAATTTATAAAATAGTTTTTATTATATATAAATACGAATTTGATTATGTATTTGGCCCTTATTTATAATAAAAAACTGTTACCATTTAATTGGCGATTCATATTAGTGAGTAGAACTTTATTAAATTATAAAAAATGTAATATTATTTTGGTTAATATACACTCTCTTATTTACAGATTTATTTAAATAATACTTAATTTTATTTTCACAATAAAAAATATTTTTTCTTATTAATTAACTATTAATTAATTATTATTTAATTATTTTTATTAAAAAATATAAAAATAATTCTATTTTACATAGTTTAGTTACCTATCTTATTAAAAATTAAAATATTATTTAATTTATTTAAAAATTTATTTTTAGTTTAAAAAAAATAAAAAATTCTAACTTATGAAAATTTAATTTTTTATAAATTTTAATTTTTAAATAGTTTTTTAAAATTTTAGTTAAATATTAAAATAAGAATAGGTGAGTATCATTTAAATTTTTTTTAAAAAAAGCTGAATGTAGTTTAAAAATAAAATAAAAAATGAAATTAAATAACTAAAAAAGTGATTTTTATTTTTAAATTAAAAATAATAAATTTAAAAAATATAATTTTAAATAATTAAATTATATTTTAATTTTTAATTGAATAGATAATCAAGAAATATGATATTAGGTTACCTTCACATATTTTTTAACAAAACTATTAAATAACTGTTAGTTAACAATTAGTTAAAAAGAAAAAGTATTTTTTTATAATAAGAGTTAAATATTATTTAAGTAAACTTGAAATGAAGAAAATAATTTTTATCATATTATTTTTATTTTCTTTTTATATATTAAAAACTTAAATAAAAAAGACAAAAATTGAATCTATAAATAAATTATGTTAGTAAATTCACTTCAAAATTTAAAGTAGTGGGTACTCAGTGGGACAAAACTTTTCCCTCTCTCTCTCTCTCTCTCTCTCTCTCTCGCTTTTCTCTAGGATTAACTTTATTAGACCTTGTAAATTATCCTTGAAAAATTACTTAAGTTATTGAATTACTAAAGTATCATTTACCTCTTGACTCTAATGAAATGTTGGTAGTAACTGTTTAAAAATTATTCACATTAGCAATTACAGGCCATGGTTGACTAGAATTAAACTATTAAATTTTTTGGACTAAAATGCCCTTGAACTTCTATATATATATATATATATATATTTGTAATCTTATTTTTTATACATTTATCATCCAATTACTTTCATTGCACTTCTCTCTCTTAATTCTTCTCATATTTCAATAATTTCTTAATTTTTGGGTATTTTTATCCCAAATTTTTTACTTAATATTAATTATTAAAATTAAAAAAATTGGAAAAAATATCAAGCAGTTCTCTTTCAATAAATTTATGAGAAGTCTGCAATTTTTGTTAACGATCAAGATATTATATTAGTAATTTTTCCCGATTGTATTACAATTGTAATAAACCTATGTCAATATGAGCATCTTATACAAAATTAAATCCGATAAACCTGTATCAAGATGAGCATCTTATACAAAATTAAATCCGATTAGAAAATTTGCTGAATGTAACAATTAAACTGTAAGTAATTTTTTATTTTTTGAGTTTTTATTTAATTTTTGTTTTTTTCATCTAATATTATGATTTCGTTATAGAAAGATGGAGGTGGATGCAAATATTTGGAGTGACTTGGATTGGAAATATGTAAAAAAAATAGCTAGAAATTGGTCATACTTATTAACACATTTTAGATGACAAAAACAAAGTGATATCAATTCATAAAGAAAAAAAGTAAAAGTTTGGAGGATACAATAAGGAGTTGATTAAAGAAATCGAAGTAAGATTGATGAATCTACTACAAGTGTGTGGCTATCATACAATTAAAAAGTTATTCATAATTTTTTGTATGAAAATTGAAATAGTTTAACTCCTGTTAGCTGTCGTTCATAATTAATTAACTCCTTACCACCAATGAATTGTTAAAGTGAGGGGGTAAAACATATTTTAATAGTTTAGAGGTTTAAGTGATTTTTTAAAATTAGTTTAAGAGGGTTTTAGTGAAATTAACCCTTAAATTGGTAAAGCATATAATAGACTTTGCTTACAATTCTTGGAATTAATTACTAATAAGGGTGATTTTATTTATAGGTGTTAGATAGTTATGGAATTCTGAGCGTAGAATTTTAAATTCTTAAAAATTTTAAGAATGTTTCACAAGCTCAACATTTTAGGAATTTGATTTCAAAATTTTTGATGATATTTATTGTGTCTAAACGTTTAGGAATTATATGTTTCCCGAAACTTGATTTGGGAATTTTAAATATTAAACTTAAATATGTACAAAAAATTTAAATTTTAATTCTTAAAATCTTTTTATATTTTAATAAACAAAATCTCTCCATTTTAAAATATCTCATTTCAAATACCGTTTTAGTGACGGTAATTGGGTTTAATTTCTTGCTTATGTGGTTAGGAAATTGATCTGGAAAAAATAAGCCTTACTAATGAAATGTGTACGCAGAGGAAGTATGAAGAGTTCAAGGAGAGGCTGAGAAAAATCATTGACGAAGAAGAAGATGGGGAATTTACAAGTGTCAGCCGCCCACCTGTGATGGAGGTATATACCACTGCCAGTGAAATTGTCTTGAATGAGAATGAGAATTTACATGGAAGGTCCCTGTTAGGGGATATATTAGAAGATGACCCCATTCTCTAATTGTCATCACCAGACAATAATGTAATAAGACCTTTAGCTTTCTTTTTAGCGGTCCTCATCCCACAACCCGGTTTAAATAAAATAAGTAGTTTCATTTTTGTTATTATTGGTTTGCTTTAAAAAATTATTTTTTTATTATTTAAAAATTTGTAAAAATAAGAAAAAGTATTTTTATCATTTCCCTCTCTTTTAAAACAACTAATGAAATCAAATACAATTAGTTAAACCACTATTCTTGACTTACTTTTTCTCTATGGATTAACTTATTTTTATTCTCTTAACTCTCTCTCTCTCTCTCTCTCTCTCTCTCTATATATATATATATATATATAAAGATTGAAGTCAAATTATTTATTTATTTATTATTTGGCAGATAATAAGTGATAAAGACATTAATTCAAGTTGTTCAACCGACGGAGCCAACATGCCACGTCTAGTCTACGTTTCTCGGAGAAAAAACTCTCTCATCCACACCATTTTAAAGCAGGTGCCCTTAACGTTCTGGTATATCACCTCTTTCTCTGTACAAAATAATTTACTCACAGTAATTTCATGCATTAAGAAGCAATTTATCTCTGCTAAATTACACTTTACTCCTCGTACTTTCATTCCCTACTTTTAATTCTCAAATATTTTAAAATTTTAATGCATTAATTTGATCGTTCTTTAATTTTATTTGATCAAAACCATGCTCTGGGGTAGATGCGGGTCTCAAGCATTATAAGCAACGCACCCTACGTGTTAATATTGGACCGTCACATGTACTGCATAACCAAACGTCCGTCCGCCAAGCAATGTGCTTTGACCTCCATCGGCAACTGTCTCCCTCTCTCGCCTTTGTTCAGTTCCCCTAGAAGTTTCACAACGTTAGCAACTTCGACATCTACGATGCAAGTTTAAGATATGTTTTCGAGGTATCTTTTCTACCACACTTTCCATTTGTAAACCAACTTAAAACATTTTTTTTTTTCCGGAGAACAATGACAGATAAAAAACACTTCTGATGATCTGTTGTTGCAAATAGTTTTTGAAACTTGTTTTTCTGTTTATATTTTCTAGTAACGTGTATGATTCAAAGCTGACATTGCCACTCTCCCACGGCTACACTACGATTAATGCATGGTACTCTGTTATGTCTTCCTTTTATTATTTATTTGGTTTGGACTTGGGAATGGTGGTTAGGAATGGATGGGCTTAGAGGACCGATGCTCTCTGGAACAGGCTTTTACTTGAAAAGGAAAGCTTTGTACGGTGGCCGCAACCTGGAAGGCAGGTTCTGCTCTGTAAATACTCGGTCTGAGGAAGAAAGAGGGTGGACTTGTTGGCTGTTGCTAGTCTTGCTGAATAATTACGACTACACCCTTCTTAAAAACACAAAATAAAATTTCTCTGCTTAAAATTGTTTTTCTTTTTTCTTGTTTTTGATAAGCAGAAAAGAGTAAACAAAGTTTTCGAAACAAACTAAACAGGGCAGCCTTGCCTTGGCTTTTGTGTTTGATAACTCTATCGATTTACTGAGCACCAGTGTCTTAATTTTAGCAGATGCAACACTCCTTCAGCTCCAAGAACGCTTTGGTCCTTCAAAGGAGTTCATAAAGTCACTAAGCAGGGGCTACAGGGGCAAACCCTTGGACAGTGAGACCTCAGAGAATGCGTTGCTCCAGGAGACAAGGATCTTGGCCTCCTTTAACTACGAGGAAAACACACAGTGGGGTAATCAGGTGGGCACTGTTTTCTCAAACCCCCCCAATCCAAATGTTTGGTAAATTACACTTTTGGTCCCCCATACATTTTTGGTAAATTATTTACAAAGATAGGAAGCATTTAAAATTACAAGGGTTATACCCCGTCCTCAATACCTCTCAAAACAGAGATTCCCAAACAACTATCCCTCCCAAGATTAAGTAAAGATACATTTGCTAAGAACAGCATTACTAATTTGGCTCTGTCCTCCCTTTTAGTCTCCTTGAATAGTCTTTTATTCCTCTTTCGCAAATTGTTAAAGGTATAGAATAAGATTAGAATTTTAGGAGAAAAGTCTGTCTATCCCAAACTCATTATCTCACCTATTTATAATGATTGTATAATTACGTATATATTGAACCTAAATACGTGTAATATATTTTCCTATTTTACATAACCCGATATACTAACCTCACATAACTTTTGACATCTTTTTCTTATATGCAATATGACTACTAGACATAACACTTAACACTTCCCCTCGTACTAGAGTATGT